ATTCGTTTTATATATTGATGACTTCTAATTTTGCAACGCCGATGTCCGGCTTTTTTTTTAACATCCTGGGACGAAAAAAAAACATGCGGCTTATTTATGTCGCTCAAAACCAAATTGAGGACTATATTTAAGTTGAATAAATTTTTGTTATCCCAGGTCTTTATATATTGATAATTACATAACCATCTTAATTTTTCCGACGTGAAGAAAAAAATTATTTTAATAACAGCGAAACTATGGAAGAAGCCCTCAAATAAATGCTAGCCAGAAGGTTTGCAATTTGGTGGGACATTCTCCCTTACCCGACAATTATTTCAACATCTGTCCGGGAGCATTTTTTTTTCGAAATTCAAACAGAATATATTCAATTTAAAATTGTATCAGACACGAAAATCACCATTCATTTACATCTCAGATGACAGAATGGGGGCCATTTTTCCAAATACGGCAAGTCGAGGACGTCAGCGCAATGATCAATGAATTTAAGATTGCTATTGGGGATTTTTTTTTTTTTTTTTTCTTGTGCCTTTTTCTTTCATTTTATTCAACAATCTTATTTTTTCATAGACTTTATGATTAAAATCATTAGGGGTTTACGGAGGGCGCAATGGATGGCGGCTCTGAATGTGAAATCAATGAGCCAAGTTCGAATTCAGTTTTCGTTAATGTTTCACTTATTTAAATTTCTATCCGTTTCCCTACAATAAAAACATTTGCATTCATTGACCTTTCATTTAGTGGTTATTCTAACTTGGATTTCTTTCACTCTATATATGGGGCTGGGATCAAAGTGTAGTATCTGTTCTCCTGTTTTTTTAATATACAGTATCTGCTATCATTATTTCTAGTATTGATCGGGCTTTCGTCCCAAACCTTTTGTTTGATGTAGTGTATAATGTTAACATCTTAATTATGTCATTATTTTCTGTTAGATTTGCATGCGCTATTCATTTTAGTTGTTGCTACTATTGGTAGTCCTCAAATGATGATGTTTCTGTTAATTCCTTTACAGTCATTTCTCTTCCTTATCTTTCCTTTTCCACAAGTTTCGAAGAAGGATGCTGTTTGCCAAAATCCCCAGGCTTCACCAACTCAAAACCTTTCTTCACCATTGATCTTCGAAATCAATTGTATACGGTTGCCAGTTTAAATATTTCTTGGAGGGTTTGGCTCTATGCATGACATCCATATGAAAGTACCCTTGGGAAAGGTATGATTCTACACCTATTGTCGTATGTGTTTGCGCGTGTGTTGGGGTGTAGAACGCCCACCTGCCTCAATCAAAAGCGAAGATGAGAGAGAGAAAAAGAAAAAAAACGTATAAATTTTATACCTATTTATTATACAAAAATCAAATAAATCTCTACTAGCGTGTCCAGAAATAGAATTGTACTCTCAGAAATTAAAGTACCTATCCATGTGTCAAGGGTGTGGATGCAAGAATCTCTTATGTTCTCACACCCGGACACAAAAGTCAATATTTATATCTACGTCTACATTAGTATTATACAAATATATAGTTTATTTCTATTATTATTAAACACTTGAATTTGTTGACTAATATTATTCAGAAATTTTTCTCACTTCAAAAACGTTCCTCCTAAATTACAAACAATAAGAATAATTCAACATTCAAATACCTGATTCTAAAATTACAGACTCTCCGTACGTGCCAATAAAAAAAAATGGCCGCAAACTTCACGAAACATCATATCAGTAATTTCGCTTTCTAAAACAAGACGCGATCTTCGCTTACGATTCAACCGGGATTACCAATAATAGGAAAACGTCATCACTTGACGATAATAACAAACTCAGTCTGCGAAAGCGAATGGTTATGGCGGGGGAAATGCGAATAAAAACGAAATTGAGGCTATTAATCAGTCTTTACGTCATAAATAATAAGAACGATAAATTTATTAAATTAATCAATAGTCGAATGAAATAAATTACTACTCTTAGATATTATTAACTTTCATCTGGATTAATTTTTAATATAGGCATAGATCATAAATATATCGATGAGATAGATAGATATGAACAAATTGAGACAGAGACATAAGTAGATAGGTATGTCGGTATTTAGATATATAGATAGATAGATAGATAGATAGATAGATAGATAGATAGATAGATAGATGAGATAGAAAAATAGATATGAACAGGCTGGAATAGATAGATAGATAGATAGATAGATAATGATAGATAGATAGATAGATATATATATAATAATAGATAGATAGATAGATATGATAGATATAGATAGATAGATAGATATGATATAGATAGATAGATATGAATAGATAGATAGATAGATAGATAGATAGATAGATAGATAGATAGATATATAGGATAGATGAATAGATAGATGAATAGATAGATAGATAGATAGATAGATAGATAGATAGATGAATAGATAGATAGATAGATAGATGAATGAATAGATAATGAATGAATTGAGATGAGATGATAATATAGATAGATAGATAGATAGATAGATAGATAGATAATAGATAGATAGATAGATAGATAGATGATATGATAGATGAGATAGATATATAGATAGATAGATAGATAGATAGATAGATGAATAGATGAAATAGATAGATGATAGATAGATGAATAGATAGATAGATAGATAGATAATGAATAGATAGATAGATAGATATGATAGATATATAGATAGATAGATAGATATATATATATAGATATATATAATACTGATATATAAATAGATAGATATTGATATATATGTATATATTTTAAAATAAATAGATGATGAATGGATATGATTGAATTGGAACATTGATGAATCATATGATAATATATATAATAGATAATAGATAAATACGTCTTCCTGCAATATATAATTATCGAATAGATTAATAGATAGATAAATATTTTTTCTATGATAATTTCATCAATATAATCAATTGATAAATTTTTTATATTTTTTGATAATACTAATATAGATTTCCTGGTTTCGATGGATAGATGGAATAGATTTTTTTTTTTAGATAGATGATAAAAGCAAATAAATTTGAAATAATTTATTTTCAATAATAATTCAGACCATTTATAAAGTTTATTGGCGACCAAAAAAAATTTTATTATTCATAAATTATTGTTGATTGCAGACATTTAAAGAAAAATACTGAAATAAATTTTACTTTTCAATACAGGGATTAGAATATTTTCATTTCGAAAAAAATATTAATTTTATAAAAAATTGAAAATTTTTTCGATTTTTATTAAATAAATATTTTTTATTTTATAATCATAACTAGAATATCTATTCATATTTATATTGTTGAATTTAAATTTTTATATTTTTTATTTGTTGCGATTTTTAAAAATTTCTCTCTTTGATTATATATTTTATAAATATGTGATACTAATTTTGAATTATATTTTAAAAGAGAATGATAAACATAATAAATTGGATTTTTTTTTAAATATAAAATTTAAATTTTTTTCTAAATTCAATTTTTTTTAAAATAGATGATTTTTTTTTTTTTTTAATAATCAAATTTTAATATATTCCCATAATTTCAAAATAATAAACTAATTTTATTTATAAATATGTATTATCTTAATTCTTAAAAAACATTTAATATTTTTAAAAATTTCTTTTTTTTTCTTTTTTTTGTAAAATTCGATCTATTAAATTATTACTTTTTTAGAAAAATAAAAAAAACAAACTAATTATATTAGAAAATTTTATATATATATATCTATTTTATGTTTAAATTCATAAAATTTTTAGTGTAAAAATTACGCAAATGTTTCAACTATTGTAATAACTTAATAATGCACCTTATATTCATTTTAATAATATTTAATATAATTTATATATATATATATATGCATATATATCTATTTCTTATTTATCATTTCAATTCCTATTTTTTTTTTTGTTATTTATGGTAAAATTACATGATATTTTTCAAATATCAAAATGATTAAAATTGAATCATCTTTTTTTTATTTTTTCTTTGTTTTTCATTTTATCTATACGATAAATATATATATTTCGATACAATCTTTTTAAAAAAATATAAAAATAATCTTTCTACGATGATCTTTGAATTTATTCTTTGGTGATTATTATTTATTATTTATCTTTTATTTTTAAATATCTATCTTATATATTGCATTATATTTCTCTTTATATAAAACATATTTCATTTTTTCATTTTCTTTTTTTTGATAATATTTTTTGATTTGATCTTTTATCGTCATTTATCACATCATTTAAAAAAAAATCCTTGATATATTTTCTCCCTTTATTATATGTTTTTAATTCTTACTTATATATATTTTATATAATATTTGTATTTATATTTATTTCTGGCAATATGTTCATGGATATTATTCTTTTTTTTTTTTACAAATTAAATAAATATTTCCATTCAATATTTTATTTTTCAATCCCCATATTTTTTCTCTGATTTTTATATCTTTTTTTAAATATATCTATATTATCTTTTTTCTTTCAATTTCTATAATAATTTCTCCTCTATCCTTGTCCAGTGGGCAAATCTACAAAATAAATTTTTTTTAACTTTTAATAAATCTTAATTTTATATCTTTAAATTTTTTTAATTTAATTTTGTGTTTTTTAATTTTGTTTGATTATTGGTTTTTTTATAATAAACCCTTTTTTCATTTTTCACTTTTCATTATAATAATTATATATATTTATTTTTATTTAAATTAATATTTAATTTTATAAATATATATTTTTATAATCTTTTTCTTATTATATATATTTTAATTGATTGATCAAAATATTTTTTATTATTTGCGAAAAAATTATTTTAAAAATAAAATATATTTTCCTAAATTAGCCTATATTTATAATATAAGATAATGATATTAAGCCTCAATATACATAATTTTTTTTTGTTTTTATGGATAAAAATTTCAAATAATAAATCAAAAATGCAATTGAAAATTTTGAAACGTTAAAACATTACACCACCGATAAAAAAAAACATCGTTAAATTCTAATTTTTAGCAATAAAATAAAAATTCTCTTTGATTTTAACGTCAGTTTTCAAGATTTTAAATATTTTGTATTTACATTCGTTTTACATTTATATTATTTTTTATCAGTTTTGTTTTTTTTTTTTTGCAAAATTTATGATTTCATAAAATTTACTTTCCAAAATTATTTTTTTTCTATTAAAAAATCTTTAAATTTTTAAATAATCATATAAATTTATATTTTTTATCTTATATTGTTTTTAAAATTCAATAATATGAAATTTATTTATATTATTTTTTTTTTTACAATTCATTTCATTTCAGAGGAAGATTTTAAAAATTTTTAAAATGAAAATTTTTTTAAAAATGATTCCATATTTTTCTAAACATATTGAAAAAAAATCAGTAACTTTTTACATTTTTTTAAATCATTTGTTCATAATTCATAAAAGAAATATGAAAATGAGATTAAATAAAATAAACGTCTTTTAACAAAAAAAAAAAAAAAAGTATTTATATATTATTTATTGATATATGATTTACCATAATATTTTTCTAAATCTATTCAAAAAAAATTCTCGATGAAATTCTTTTAAAAGATTTCATGATCATTTGATCGCTTTTTTAACTCCAGGTAATTATTCAGAGTTTTTTATCAGGATTTTTTTTCTATTATTTATAAATTCAATATAATCAATTTTTAATGAGTTTTTTAATTTTTTTTATGTCTATCGAAAACAGAAATTTTTTCTCATGCGTTCAAAAATTTTTGTTTTCAAGTGAAAAATTTTCATCAATTTTTTAATGTTTTTTTTTTTTTTTAAAAAAAAAAAATTTTTTTTCAAAAAATTTTCAGATATGAATGAAAAAGGCTATGTGTCATCTTCTTTTGTTATATAATATATTATTTTTAATATTTAATTCTTCCATCTAATTCATTTTTTTAATTTTTCTTTAGTGATGGTCATTTCAATTCCTTATTTTCATTTCCAAATAATTTTAAAAATGCATGGATTTATTAATTTCTTAAAACGGATGTTATTTATATAAAATATAAATAAAGTCCATTCAATGGAATAAAATACTTCAAAATAGATTTTTAAAGCCATTTAATGTTTTAAATTTTATTAATCATTTTTATTTTTATAAAATTTCTTATCTATGGTATTGAATAACTAGTTAAATTTTAAATTGAATGGATATTATATTCCAATATTATATAATCTATAATATTTTTTTAATTTGGAATTTTAAAATATTTATAATATATTTATATATCCATTGTCAATCCATGTCCAAAATGAATATATATATATATTTTTCTTTATATATTGAATGATATATTTATAATTTTTGAAAAAAAAGTCATTGAATTTTGAAAAGTTGATAACCATTTTTAATTAGATAATTTTTTGAAAATGAAATAGTTTTTTTGTCAATTTGAATTAAAATATTTATTGTTTGCTAAAATATTGCTGTTTTATAATTAATATTTTCAAAATGAAAAAAAATATCACGTATCCTGTCTTTTTTAAAACTTGTTTTATATCAAAAATATTTTTATATATTTTTTTTTATATTATAATAAAAAAATAAAATCTTATATAAAATTAAATAGGTTATTTATTCTTTATCTTTAATTGAACTTTTTTTTACATGTTAAAATTTTTTCTAAAATCAAGCCAATGCCTTATTTTTAATCATAATTTAATATTTTTTTTTTTAAATTTTTTAATTTTTTTGAATTCGAAATATACGCTAGATCGAAACAACACTACATTTTCGGTAACATTTATAAACATTTTTTTTATAATTTTTCAATAATTGCACAGTTTAAATATTTTTTTTCAATAATTTGTTTGGTATTTTTATTAACATTTCTGGAAAAATTTCAATTAATCATAAAAAAATATTAAAATAAAAAGTATTTATTTTTTCATATGTATCAATTTTTATAGTTTGACAGTATTTTAAAAAAAATGCAAATATTTTTCACTAAAATTTTGGACATAAAATATCCTTGACTTTAAAATTCAAATGAAACAAAAAATTTTTTATCTGTATATATATTTTGAAATGAAAAAATTATGTTTTTTTTTACATTATTTTATCCTACAATATTTTCATTTTTTTTCATGCAAATTTATTTTTCTTATTTTTTTGTAACTCCGGCCTTCTTTTATATGGTTGAAATGTTTAACTGAACGCTTTAAAAAAAATTACTTTATTGATGTTCTAATTCCATATTTTAATAATGTCATTATCACGTTATCTTATTTTAATTTCCATCATTGAATTTCTTTTGCCATAGCCGACATTCATGAACTCAACTCTTTTGGTTTTTTTTCATTAATCTTAATGTTCTTTATCCACTTGCCATGTATTTTTGTACCATTCTAGTTCGACATTCCAACCACCTATATGAAAGATTGGAGCGTACAAATTTATAATTAACGTTATATAAATTTCAAATATAAAAATGAATAATAATACACCTTGTGCAAATTAATTGAAACAACCGCTTTAGTTTCTTTTGTTTCACCATATGGTCAGTTTTTGACCCACTGGAGTGACAGGGTGTAATCGATTTCTATTTTTTTCTCAGATTAGGTCAGTGGTGTGTAGTAATATGAATCTATTTTCAGGGTGTAGGATGAAATTCGTTTGGCCTTGAAAAATATTACGTCATCTGTGATTGCATCAGATTTTTATCACGCCCAGACATTATTGTCTCGATTGTCGATTAGTTGTCCTATAGCCATTGTCTACGATGGACGTTACTTCACGGAATCGTACGAAAATTGTAACGTTGCACGAACACACTGGCAAGCCTTACCAGTGAGCAAATCAAAGTACTATAGACTGGCCCGGAAACTCTCCTGATTTAAATCCAATCGAGAATCTGTGGTTAATCTGCAAGGAACGACTTCGTGGAATGGACATACGAAGTACTAACATGTGCACTGGGTCATGTTTCATTGGAAAAATACGAAAAAAAAAGTAAATAATAACGGAATTATTCGTTTTGTTTCAATTAATTTGCTTAACTTCATTTAATTTCATTCCTTTATTTTTCTAATATGAAACAAATTCAAAAAATAAAATTTTATTTCTATTCTCAAAATTTATAAATTAAATTTTAAAATTTTCTTCATTTTCGAATTATTTTTGAAATTTTATTTTTTTAAAACAATTTATATATATTTGCTTCATTTTTTTAAAGTTATTTAAATTCAATTCAAAAATCCATTATTACATTTAAAAAATGATCAGAATAAATTTTTATATTTTGAGTTTTTTACCCTTTAACAGAATTTCAATTTAAATCTTTTTTGAATATCTATTTAATATTGGAATTTCTGTATTTTAAAAAATATTCTAAAAAAAAATTTCAAACAAATTTTTTAAAAATTCTTTAAAAAAATTCATTTTTTATTTGTTTTTTCCAAATATATTGGAAAAAAAAATCCTTAGCAAATACAAATTCAATTTTTACATATAAATAAAAAATAACAAAAACAAGAATTTCCAATATTTATATATATTCTATAATATAAAAATGAATTAAATGTATAAAAAAATAAAATTTTACATCCATTAAAACATTAAAAAATTCATTTTTTTTTTTAAAAAGATAAAGAATCTTAAAAAAATTCTAAAAATTTTGGTTTTTTAACAATTTAATTAAAATTAATCACAAATTTAAATTTAAAAACGTTTAAAATTTGGATTCTAATTTACAATTAAAATTTTAAATAATCAAAGTTAAACATAATTAATTTTTGTTAAAAATTAAATTTTAAAAATATATTTTATTTTATTATATAAATTTATATAAATTTGATAAACTTGTATAATTTAAATATATTTTTGTTTTATATAGTTATTTTATTTTTAATTTAAAAAAAATTATTCTTTATAATGTTTATATGAAACCTGTTTTTAAAAAATTCCATCGTTTTATAATTTCAAAATTCAATTTTTTTTAAATAAATTTTTTAAAGAAAAGTTAAATTTTGTTTTACAAAACAAATGTTCAAATTTTTTTTCAAAAATGAATTTTGAACAGAAACAATTTCTTTGAATTAAAAAGATCCATATTTTGTTAGTTTATTTTTTTAAAAATTAAAAAAAAAATTTTATTTTAAAACGAATTTTTTTAATTTAAAAGAAAATTTTTAAGAATTTGAACTTTTAGTTTTTCTTTATATTCCTTTTAACGAAATTTTTTTTTTTTTATGAATCGATTAAATTTCATTTGTCTTAAAATTAATGTAACAAATTTTTTTAAATTTTCTTTAATAAAATCTATTTAAAATTTATAAATTTCCTCTTATCAAATTTTTGCTATTTATCTTTTTACTATAATTTATATTATATATTATATATATATTATAAATATTATAAAAAAATTTTTATTTCAAAAATTTTTTATTCTGAGTTCTATCCATTTTCCTTTTTATCAGATATTGAAATTTTTTAAGTTTGCCATTATTTTTTGATTTTAAAAAAATTATATTATTTTAAATATCTTTTTTTAAATAAAATTTGATTTAAATTTTTTTATTTTTAAATAAATTAATCAATTTTGATCATTATTAATATTAAAAATTATAATGAAATTTTTTTTTTTATCTTTGTCAATTTTAAAAAAATAAAAAAAATTTAAAATTCAAAAATATAATAAAAAAATTGAATATAAAAATTTAGTTAAAAAAAATAAAAATTTTTTTTTTTTAAAAGACCACTTATTTTTTTTTTTTGAGAGGTTTTTAGAAATAAATATTTTGCAAAATTTTTTTTATAATCCAATTTTTGAATTTAAAAAAAGTTTAAATAATGTTCATGAACTTTTTTTTATTTTTATTTTTATTTGATTTTTTTTTTTTTGTCATTTATTTTTTTTTATTTTTGTTAATCTAAAATATTTAAATAAATTAAAAATTTAAAAATTTGTTTAATTTAAAACAAATCATTTGTATTAAAAATATATTTTTTTTTTTTTTATAAT